GGATCCTCTGTCTCCCTCTCTCTCTGCCCCTCCCTCCCTCCCTCTCCCTCTCTCTCTCAAAAATAAATAAACATTAAAAAGAAAGTGCATACTCTTGTTTACATAATCTTAACCCAGAGAGAACATACTTAAGGAATGTACTTGAATTTCTCTTGATCTGGGTTTCTGTGATTATTTCCAAACTGACATGGTGATTCTGTGATTTTCAGAGGCAAACAAGACAAGAGTGACAAAGACCATCGTGGAGGAAGTGGTGGACGGCAAAGTCATCTCATCTCAGGTCAGCAATGTTTCTGAAGTGAAAGTTAAGTAAGCCATTTCCAGATCAGCAAGAGGGTCTTTCAGAAAAATAATGAAAGGACACAAATGAAGAAATCACATCAATCTTTCTAGCCATCTTTCTGGATGTCTTCAGGGAAAAGATTCCATCCAGAAATAGCTAACCAAAAAATTTTTCTGCATCTTCTTCTTTTCTTACCCACACGCTCTTGAAAAAGTTGAAATGACAACTTTGCTCTGTTTCCATGCTTCAATAAACTTACTTTTGCAAGTTAACTAAATGCTTCTGGAAATTTTTTAAGAAATTCAATATTTTCCCTGGAAATAAAGCTTTCAGTTATGATCTAGCTGCATTGTTATTATACTAATATTAATTTGTTATTGATATAGTACCCTCTTCATAAAAACCAAGATTATAGCCATTTGGCGTGTGGGCATTTCTAGCAACATCCCATTGGAACTCACTGATAGCTGAAATTAGGTCTTAGTGTCCCTAAAAAAGTTGTGGGAAAGAAAATGGGGTATGTGATATGGGCTCCAGATTTCTGAAAACCTCAAAAGCCCCAAAGAGAAGAGATCTCAGATCCTTGTACCCTTACCAAATCTAGCCACACCTCTAGCCAAAAACTGTCACTTAGCCAAGCTGGTGTTTCCTTTTCCCACTGTCCACTGCTGAGTTGGCCACGGGGCTCTGTCTTGTCTTGCTTGGGACAATGAAGCTTGTTAATGTAGGGCAGGAGATGGTACCGGCTCAGTCCCAGGAAGAACCAGACACAGGACAAAGCCACACTGGTTAAGGACTTTCCCACTTGAGGAATTCAATAGCACCAGATCACAAACTAGAGAATCAACCCCAGAAGCCAGTCCTCAAGAAAAGAACGCCAGGCTTGGCATAAAAAGCCAAATTTAAAATTACAAAGGATGAACCTGAACATAATTTATGCAAATTATACCTTCAAATATAAAACCAATAAGATCTGTATGAGAGTATCAAACTTTTTTAAAAAAATTTTTAATGTTTATTTATGTTTGAGACAGAGAGAGAAACAGCATGAGCAGGGGAGGGGCAGAGAGAGACGGAGACATAGAATCTGAAGCAGGCTCCAGGCTCTGAGTTGTCAGCACAGAGCCCGACGCAGGGCTCGAACTCATCAACTGATGAGATCATGACCTGAGCCGAAGTCAGACGCTCAACCGACTGAGCCACCCAGGTGCCCCGAGAGTATCAAACTTTAATAATCCAAAACCACCCAAAACAT